TATATATATATACACAGATTTTTACAAAATACATGAATGAATACATTTCTTAGAGGAAGGTCACTACAGAGATGCCAAAAGCAAACCAAAAATTAATTTGATAATGCTTATATTTCAGTAAGATTTTGAAAAGGCTTCAACAGCAGGATGTTATGTTTCCTTTGCAGTGGCTCCTGTGAGTGGATCCTGGTTATTCTCCTTTAATTGAGACCCTAAGCCTGGCCCAGGGGCAGGGTACCAGCACTGGTCTTCCTACTGGCTTTAAGCTATGAGCAGTAAACCATGAGAAAAAACTATGAATACAGAGAATATGAGGATTGTCTGAAAGTAAAGAAACTCTTTTCCTTGATGACTCATGGAATCTATCCCCTCATTTGACACACGCCTCATGAAGTCCTGGATTCCGCAGACATGTTTGCCTTGGAAGGTCATCAACTCTCACCTTCCTTTTATTGGCAGCCTCCTGCTGACCTGAGTTTGAGTTTCTCCAGTGAGAGCAAACTTGTCGCCTCCCATTAGACAGCTGTGGCTGTTAAAAGGTGTCTTCCTTTAATTCAGCTGAAATCTGTCATCCCAGGTGACCAGCTGTTCTTGTTTGCCCAGCCATGTCCTGGATTTAACGACAAATTCTGCATTCTGTGGTAGCCGTCACTCCTGGCAAACTAGGACAGTTGATCACTCTGTCTTTTATTTTCATCTGTTGACCCTGTTCTCCATCTTGGGTTATGCAAAGAACTGCTAATTTTTTCTTCTAAACAACATCCATTTTGACACATTTCTCTTGTTCCAAAAGATCTCAGCTGATGCATAATTTTAGATTCTGTATTTTCCACTTGATCTGCTCAGACGGTGCTGCCCTTGACCGGGGAAGGAGCTTTCCATTCTTCTCCACATGTTTCCATACACAGGGGAATATTCCTTCTCTCTGGGAGAAAGGGTGGGTGTGAACACTTTTGTTGTTCTGCCACCCACTTTTTCTGTTAATCCTTACTGAGAGGAAGAGTTGCAGTTAACCTGATTGTTGAAGACTTCCAGGCAAGATGGAGGGGTAGACATGCTTAGCCTCCTCATATGACCAATACTGTATTTCGCTGTGTATAATGAACACTTTTTTGCCCAAATTTTTGAGGTACAAATAAAGATGCATATTATACCTGAGTATAATGATAACACATCATGGGTATAATAATGGGTATAATAATCCTATTGTATAATGCACACAAAAATGTGATGTGCATCACACACAGCAAAACATGGTATATCTCAAAACAAATACAAACAAGAACTGTCAGAAAATCGAGCTCTATGGAAGTCCAACAACCAAGGATTTAAAGAAGCCACATCCATTTAGATGCATAGGAGGGGCAGAGTCAAAGGGACAGGTGAAAAGGTGCAGAGATGTGTGGTGTGGAGAGGGGCCAATGGTGGTGGCTCAAAGGGTGGTCACACACTTACATGTGATGAATCAAAAATGGGAGAGATACTTTGGGAGAGAGTGATCCCAGCCCCAGGCCAGACTGCAGAGCCCAGGATTCCAGAATTGGCAAGTTGAGTCCCCATAACTTCTGGTTGTGAAACCAGTGGGGGTTGGGTGGCAGAAGAAACAACCAGATTTTCAGGAAAGTCTATTTAAAAGGCTGCAGAGACTCATGACATACACAAACACATTCACTTTAGGGTTCACCACCGGGGCAACAGGTGGAAGGCGGCCAGTTGCATATGGGAAGTGGGCGAAGTGACTGGAGATGGGGCAAGTGTCAGGCAAGCCTCCAGAAGCCAGGCAGTAGCACTGTCCCCTCTCTGAGCCTTCCTTCCACTCACACAAAGGCGCAGAGCAGTGAAGCAAGTTGCCCCACCTTGGTGACTACCTGAGGCTCTACCAGGTAGCTCTATCTGCACTTCAAATTTGACTGTTCCTGGTCAAATTTGTTATCTTGGCATAAGATTCTGATTTTCACCTTAGGATTCCAGATTTCCAAAACTGGCCCCACTATTCATGTAATCTCCCATACCGGGAACCTGAGTACTCTTCTTAATTGTTCTCTTTTTCTTTATCTTCAATTTGTCCTGCTAATCCTATCTCCTAAATACCTGTGCACCCGTCTATCTCTGTCCATTCTCAATGTCACTACCTTTCTGTGCCCTTTCGTCTCAGTGTTGCTTCAGTAGCTTCTGAACGTCCTCTGCCTCCAGTCTTACCCACTCTCATTCTCCACACTGTTGCCACAGTAATCTTTCTAGAAGGCAAATCATATGATGTCATGTCTCTGCTTTTAAAATCTTTGAATGAACTTCAGTGTTCTTCAGAATAAAGATCAGGCACTTTGGTTTAATGCAGAATGTCCGTTGTGGCTTCTCTCATGGCTGTGCTACAGCCTCACTCCCACCACCCTTCCCATTCCTGGCACCCTCACTTCCCCCATTCTCAACGAAGTGCAAGTCTGTTTCCATGTGCTGTTCCCTCTGCCTGGAGCACATTTCCTCCCCTTCCTCTATTAAGATCCAACCCACTTGTCCTTTGGAATCAAATCAGGGGTCACATTCTCTAGAAATCTCTCCTGATCTCATCTTCCTCCATTGTCAGTTAGTCTAATTTTGGATTCTCCTCTTAGAATCTGACTGAAACGCATGTCTGAATGAATGGCTAAGTCAATTCTCCAGTGAGATGGTCCAAAAGACCTTTGGGTGGGGTATAGAGTGTTCTTTACAAAAACAAATGAATTATGAGTGTTTCAAAGCTCTACACTATAGAATGTGGTGGATACGATATATCCTGGAATGTTTTCAAAGGAGTTGCCAATTGCCTGTCAGTCACAGAGGGTTTTTAGTAGTTTTCTCAGGCCATCTCGTTTGCCAAAAGAGCTTCTCACTGAAACTGCCAAGGTGCTAAGTAACCATAGGCATAATTTGTTGGATGGAATTATTAAATATAACTGAGTGAACCAGGGAATAGCTGCCAAAATGATCTCTACCACTAGAATTATTGATCATAATCTAATCTTTCTAAAAATCATCAGACAGCTAAACATGTTAATTGTCTGTTGCTGCCATTAATTCATGACCATAAAAGTATGTCATCAATGCATGGGATGGATATTTTTATTTCTTTCTTTAACTGCAGAATGTGCTTTCAAATCATCCTAAGGTGGGCTTTTATTTTATTATCATACACTTTTTAAAGTGTTTAAATGATCATTTGATCTTGTAAGGAGCTTTCAACAGATCCAAAGTCTGACGGTGGTGCTAGAGAGAAGGTTCTGTGTAAGACCTAGCTTGGGAGCATAGTCTTAACTTATATTGCTCCCAGCCTGCAGTTAAAGGCCAAGGGCGGTCAACAATCTTTTGTTTCATATCAAAACATCTGCTTGTGTGACCAATATCATGTGCTTTTTCTCTTGACACATGTCTTCACAAGATTATCAGAGAAAGAATGCTAAAGATTATAAGCTCTGCCCATGCTCCGTTAGCCTAAAATTTGGAGTTGAGTAATCATAAGAATTGTATGGGGTGTCTAACAACCAATGTGGCTGTAGTTCTGTGTTAGTAAAGAATTGCCTATTTTTGAAAATGAGATAAATAATATTTCATAATCAGTCAGACACTATCATCCCTAGACTTAATAAAGACCATTACAAAAGTCTCCAAGAACTGGAAAACATCAGTGAGAATGAAAAAATTCGTATATTAAATATTGATAATAGAAAAGAAAAAAAATTAAGTCTCCATGATGCAAGGTGGGATTTAGACTTCCCCAGGCTTTATCAGATCCACGCCACAGATGAGTTTGTCCCTATTTAGACCTGAATGTTTAAGGATTAATTAAAATCATAAATGCCAAAAAGCTATCAAAGAATGCTTAATTACAAAAATTATTATAAAAGAGTATTTAATAAAATATGTAAGTGGAAAAGCTTGATGGAATATATGAGGTCAATTCTTAAATTAAGAAAAATGCACATTGAAGAAGTATTCACAAAGATAACTCATTTGTTTATTTTGAAAAGTTAAAGTGTGAGTAATTGACCAAAATCATTTGACCATGTTTCAAAATTCATCCTCAGGAGTATAGCAAGCAGATCCAGGCAAACCTGTGCTGTAGACCACAAAGGATGGGGTTATGAATATACATTCAGAGAGTCTTCTCTCATGTTCGATACCAGTTTCTGGTGTGGGCTATTTTTAATGAGGAGTTCTCTACATGAGTTGACACGGCCGATCCTAGAAAAACGGCAGGGAGTGACAGCTTCTCTCTACCTCACTGACCCTGGCAGAGCATGGTACTCTGGATAATCGGCTGCACAGAGCAGTTTTCAACTGTACTGTGATTGTTTATCTGTACTCTCCACTGTCCAGCTGTGCTCATTATTTCTTGATGACTATGTGTTTGGAGAAGCACAGGGCTCTGGCTCCTGCATGGTAGTTTCCAGGCAGAAGTGTGTGCCAGTTCCACTGTACTCAGGTTCACCTGGTTTGGGGAGGTGAAGAGATTTTGCTTCCTTGCTGCTGTCTTCATCATAGGGTTTGTGGTCTTATAGATGGAAGGGTGGCCAGCCTGAAGTTGCTATGAGCATGTGTGTGCAGGCACCTGTGAATCTGTGTGCTGGTGCCGGTGGGTGAGTCATGAGTATGAAGAAGATGCACGTGGTGTGGTCTATAGGATCATAGGGCTTGAGCAGTGGAGGTGGACATGGCTGTGATGGACCTATTAAAAAGGGGTAGAGAAAGGCAGGCACTTATCTTTCTGATGGTGGGGGCAGATGCTGGGCTTACATGAGCCTCTTTGTGCTTCTAGAAGTCAGCAGCACAGGGAGCAGGCGGAGCTGGCTCTGGGCTGAGTCCTGATCATCCTGAGTGAAGGAGTGGGGCAGTGTGTGAGGGTGTGAGTGTGTGTGTGAGTGAATGTGTGAGTGTGTGTCCAGCTTCTACTGTATGAATCCCTTTAAAAGGCCTGAAGTAAGAGATCTACTAGAAATTATGGCTTCGTATTTTTTTTTTTTTAGATAAACGCGAGGAGAAAACTTGTGAAGAAGACATCAGCTGGCAGAGAGGGCCTTGCCTTTGCTGATGGATCAGAACAGGATGAAAGCCATCTCTTCAGTTCAGTATTTATGGTACTTTAGGCTGAGACTTTGAAGCTTTGCCTCATTTCAGCCATTCATAGAGGAGCATGTTTTTCTAAGGAAAAAAATCTTAAGGTCAGAATTTCCTTTTTGTTCTTTAAGATTTCTTGAAAAGACGTAAGAAGGTTAAACAGTTGCCACATGAAAAAAACAGTGAAAGGAACAATACTGTTTAGAGTAAATAAAAGAGCCTTTATGAAAGCACCATGATGCATGTACAGTGGTTTCTGCATGAATCAAATTGTATGCTTTCAGAACATAATTGATAGTCTTATGTGAGATGATGGCTTGGTTCCCATGAGTGTACTGAATGGACTAGTGCCAGCCTGTACAAGATAATGATTAAATGGAAAGAAATGACACCAACAGAGGAGTACAAATAATCTATATTAAAATACCAGCACAAACTCGAGTTTGGAAATTATTAATAACCTTGAAATTCAGAAGGAATTACCAGGGTGCACATATGAGCACTTAGTGATGATTGATCTCAGCATCTAATGAAAACTTGGCTTCTTGCTGGTTTAGGAAAATGGTAATTCTTAGGTGGAATTGTGTGTCTCTGTTAGGAAGATTATGATGATTTGCCTGGTCCTGGAAGTGGTGTGAATGAGCCATATGAATAAAAAAGAGCAATTCACAAGTGGAGACCCCTTTTTCCTGTTCACTTTTACTTAGCATACATTTTTAAAAAGTAACTATTTCAGAAAGTACAATGAATACAATTTATTGATAGAGTGTGTTGCAGAAGAATCTTTCTTTTTGAGTTTATAGTTCCTATGGGAAGAAATGCAAAACTCTTTTAGCTATTGAAGAGCAATGGAGTGTGATGGTAGAGCCTAAATGGAGTCCGGTTTTCAGTTGGGGGGGGTGTTCCAAATGTCCCCTGCGTACCACGGGGAGAACAAATGTACACATACTTCCATGACATTGGGCTGTCTTTCTCTAAATGTTTTTATTCTACTGTCCGTGGTGTGAAGGAAAAGACACCACCCCTGTAACTCATAAAAATCACATTGCTCTGTTTCAAGTACAAGTTTTGTTCCAGAGACAGAGTTAAAGTGGAAAATAGGACAAAATATGTTTTATGTTCCCATTCATCTTTAAAATAGCCTCACGACACTGTGAACTTGAGACCGGACAATTACTTGGCACATCACCCATGCAGACACCAGCCTCGACGGAATGAAAGGGAACCCTCCTCCAAGGGTGAGGTGTTCTTGAACAACTCACCAGAAGCATTAGCTACAAATGTATTTTTTCCTACACCTCATGCATGCCAACTTTCTCGCCTCCCATTTTTCATGTGTTATAAATGGCTTTGTTTGTTTCCTGTTTCCTGTTTTATGTCCACATTACCCCTTCCCTGTGACTCACGTTGGTTAAGCAGATAGGGGCATATGCCACATGTGTGTAACTCAGATCCCCTCAGAGCATTTTTCTTATTTTTTAGAGGGCTCTTATTTGACATTAACAATAACCTACATAATTCTTCTAATGTCATAAACACTATAGAAAAAGAGACTTTGTTTAGCTCACTTTTCTGCTCTTGGTAACAACACACATTCTCTGAGCATGAATTACACATATGATATGAAGAACAGCATTTATTTCAGCCTAATGCTGGGCCTTGCCTTCTGCTTGAGTAGTAGCTGTTGTGATTCTTAAGGGACCAAGTAGGAACATCCTTCTCAACACACATGCACACACACATTAAGTGCTTATGTTATGATGTCAGCATATAAAGAACTGGGAGTATGATCCTAAAAATGTCCTAATAAGCATGATGCCCTTTAACCACTCCCTCTTGTCAAGAGCGCTCACATGGATCTCAAGCCCTTTCCCTGTAGCATTATGTCAGGGGATACTCTGAAGGTTCAGTCTCCTGAACTCACTCTCTTGGTCTTGTCTGTTCTTATTCTTTTACATAGACTTCCAGCTTCAGATCCCATTTTTTTCTATCTGACCTTAGTCATGATGCATTAGAGCTCCCCTTGCTTTCCAGCATGTCCATATATGTATTGTGATTTATAGCAAGAAATAAATATTTGGTCTTTATCCCCCTTCCTGGCACATAGTTCCTAAAACTCTTGGAATTTTCTAAGTTTAGAAAGTGATTCAGGTGAATTTTGTTATGTTAGTGAAGTGACTTTAGGAAAGCCCCTATGTAACCTAAGAACGGAGGCTGGTTGCCAGTGGAACCAATCATGTGATTAGAGGGTTGGAACTTTTGATGCCTCCCTCAAGCCCCTCAGGAAGGGTCAAAGGACTGGAGAGAAAATTCCATCACCAATGGTCTGTGATTTAATCTTGTCTCCATAAAGAAGCCGCCATAAAAACCTCAAAAGACCAGGTTCAGAGAGCTTGTGGGTTAGTGGAGATTCAGGGAGATGGATGTACTGGTAGCATGGGTAGGAGTTCTGTTTGTCCTATGGGTCTCTTCCTTTGGCTGTTCCTGAGTTATATTCTCTTACAATAAATTGGTTATCTGGAAATAGGTAAAATATTTTTCTAAGTTCAATGAGGCAACTAATCCAACTCTAGGAAATTAATCAAACCCAAGGATGGGGTTGTGGGAACCCCTCCCTGATCTGTAGCTTGTAGGTCAGAAGCATAGGCAACCAGGTAGACTTGCAGTTGGCATCTGAAGTGGAAGGTGGTCTTGTAGGAATGAGTCCATGACCTGTGGGATCTGATGCAATCTCCAGGTAGATAGCGTCTGAATTGAGTTGAATTATGGAACACCCAGCTGGTATCCAAGAATTGCTAGGTGGTGTAGGAAAGCCTCCATGCACTGGAATTGGTGTCAGAATCATACCATATCTGGGACAATTGCTCCCCTTTGATCATATGTCCTGCATTCATGGGCAACATTCACCTTTACTTAGCATTGGAATTTATTTCTATTTGTTCCTCATTCAGGAGCATGTTAACTGCCTAATCCCATAATCAGCCATAGCCTCAAGAGTTAAAGATAAGGGAAAAGGAGTTGGTAGAGAAAATAAAATGCTTTTACTCTTTTTTGTTCCAACTGTGGCCATAAGTGTCTGTGTGCTAAGTGTAGAATTCTAGCATTTTATTGGTACCTGGAAAGAAAGAGTTTTAGAGAGAGGAGGTTTCTCACTCATTTACTTAAGACCCATTTTAAGTCCTTTTTCCTTTCACTTTATAGAGTAGAACATTTCAAAATGATTTCCACACACTTAGCTTTTATTAACATCCACTCAAATGCAGCTTCTATGACGCGTGTCTCAGTGACAATCTGAGAAAGATTGAACAAAAGGTGCTGCTCCCCTTTTTCCGCCTTTCATGACCTTTCCTTGTGCTCAGCCTTCTCCACATCAAAGACATAACTATCCACTAGATAATCATCCCCAAAGCAAACCAGCATCAGGAAAGAACCCCAGAAAATCTCATCCATACACAGGAAATGACTTCTTGAGTGCTCACCCTTTGCCAGACCTTCTGGTGGTTTACTAGGTGTCTGTCCACCATACTCGGCTGTGGGGCAAAGGAGGGTAGCAGTTGGATCAGGCAACTGGCATGAAAAAGTGTTCAATGTTCTTACAAAAGTGGCATTCAAAGGTTCACAACATTTTGAAGTTACAAAGAGTTGGCTATTTGTATTCTTTCTCCTCAGAGATTATCAAATGGAAACATCTTGCTTTGCAGTGTTATGATAAGCAGAAATCTTTTTAATCCATTGGGCAGATTTCAACATAAGTGATGATAGTGGGGTTATTACTGTGATAGGAATTTTAGCTTGGAATTGGAGAACTGTTAAATAATTATACAGTACGGATAGGTATGAAGTCCATTTGTTTTTACAGCACACAAATTTTTTTAAAAGCCAATTAATGCCTTTCTAAAGGCTGCCACTAATAATAATTTTAAACCAAGGTGAAAATGCATTTAATAGAATTATTTAAGGTTTCAGATTAATTTTGTTGAGGAAAAATCTTTTAAAAAAGTAATTGAAGTGTATAATTGATTTATACTTACATAAAATGTAGGTTTGATATTTTTGCCATGGCATCTTTGCTGTCGACATCTTTGTCAGAGCATTTTTGCTGTAAACATTTTTACTGCATAATTAATTGGCTGTAAGGCAATTTTGTTATAAAAAAAGACAAAATAACTGGTTGACAGTTGGGTTTTCTTTTCTTTGGTTGGTTTCATGATTTTATTGACAAAGTTCTCATTTACTTTCCTTTTTGAATTACACATAAATCTTAGCTAGCCTTCATAGTGCTCTACAGAATAACAAGTAGATATGGTGGTGGTCTTCAACTAGTTAGCACTCCTTCCGGATGAAGATGATTTGCTGCAGAGCTGGTTTCTTATTTGGATACACACTACACAGGGAGGAGAAAGAGAAGCCAAGGGCCCTCATGGCAGGTACAGAGGTGTACAGGCATTTCCTGCAGGAGGAAGACTAGTGCTTAGGTACAATGCCAACATGCAACAGTTATTTGTGTGGCATTGGCATGAATCTACACACATTAAAATTAATCTTTTCAATGTTGTTATTCATATTTCCTGTTTCATTATGTCCCTTTTAATGTCTCACTTTTTTGTCATAATTGTATCTTTTTTTATGGCAAAATTGCCTTATAGCCAGTTAGTTATATGTCAAAAATACTTGTGGCAAAGATGTCTATGGCAAAGATGCTACAGTAAAAGTACCTAAACCGTTTCTCTCATCTCTAGAAGTGGACGTTGTTTAACAGTGTTGAAACTGCGTGAGGTTTATTAACTGATGTAACTCTGACAGAGGACAGACCCTGACCAACTGGCTGATTCGGCACTTCATGATAATCTCCACCTTGGTATTGGCCCTTTAAATCAGTTCTAATCACCTTGCACCACAACTATGCTGGTTTATTTTTTTTTAAGTTGAAAACACTGGTATTTGACTGGTTCATTACTAATTTCTTGAGCACTCAATGTGTGCCAGTGTCTGTGCCCCAGGGATGGAGTAGTGAGCAAACAGATGAGATGCTGCTTTCACAAACCTGTAAAATAACACAACTGGATGAATCATGCCTGAATCAAACAAACTCCACTGGGTTGCT